ATTAATTATTAAATAAAATTTAAAAGATTTGTTATTATTATTAAAATATTATAAATTATAATGTAATTAAATTATATAAAATTAAATTTTAATGGATAATTTTATAATTAGATTAAATATTATGTATTTTCTGTAAAAACCATAATAATAAAATTTCAAAATAAGATTTTTGATTTTATATATAAAATTATTATAGATCTATTATGACTTTCTACGATTCTTAAAAAAATTAATTTTAAAAAAATTATCAAATATATATATATTTAAAAGCACTATATAATTACATAAAAAAACTCTTAACCGCAACTCCAGACGCAACATGAGTTACTTTACCAAGACATTTAGGCATACCAGCAAGAAATCATGCAGAAAAAAAATTTGTCCTTCGTTTCTTTGCCAAAAACCAAAAAGTTAAACGTATCCATCAATGAAGACATGATTAAATGTGTCCCATTCTGGTAGTCTATTTGGGGACGAAAGGGCTAATAGGAATTTGAAACGTCAAGCTGTCCCACCTAACGAGTAGGATTGGCTAGGCAAAGTCTGAATGGAGAATGGTTAGATTAGTTGTATTGAGCAAATTAACTTAAAAAATGGAGAGTAGGTGTTTATATCTAAAAATAAACTAATGAAATAAGGCCATATGTTAAGCTTAAACTCAATTTTTAAAGAGAGTGATTATAAGTAGGGTTAGATTGAATTGGACTGGGTTAATTTAGAATTTAATGGCTTAGAAAGATTTTTAAAGAGGTTGAATTTTAGGTGGTAAAAGATAAGTTATTTTCTGGTGGTTGAGTTTGATTTAAATTGAGAAATTAAGGGTTTTTAGGAGAAGAATATTATTAGGGTTTTATTGAAGATAAGATTGAATACAAAACTGTTAGCTGTTAAACAACTGCCTAGACAATTGCCCAAACGTGAGTCCCCACTACCCGTTCATGGTGGGAAGAAGGCCAAAAATCTTGGAGGAAGCTTCCCAACACCGAAGGAAAGGAAAACAAGAGAACACACACACATGACCTGCCCTACAAAAACTACCTAGTGCATATGTTTTTTTTTTTAACTTTCAGACTGTTCTTCTAGATTTTAGCATAATTTTCAGATTATAGTACAAGATCTATTCCTATCATAACTTTTGTTTTGGGTTTTCCATCATTGTTTTGTATTTTCCTTTGAAAATTGCAACTTTAGTTAATTTTTAAGGATTTAGAAGTGTTTCAACCTTGAAAACGAGTTTACCCCATTGAATTGATTAGTTTTTCTTTCTCTTATGAATTCATCTTCTTTTTTTTTTTCTTTTTTTTCTTTTTTTTTTTTTTGTATGAACCACCCGGTATTTAGAAGCCCACTGGGTCACCGACTAATCAGGATTCGAGCCAGACAGGACCCAACGGACGGTAAAGCTCTTCTTCACGAGTTTTAACGGAGCTGCATTCTCAGGACTTGAAACCAAGACCTCTGGTTAAGTTAAAAGAGTTCCATGTCAACTCATCCACTCGCTCGTGGGTTGAATTTATCTTTATTATTTGTTTATGTAAATAGGTTGAATGCTTTCTACCTTCTTTTCTTGGCTTTTGTACAATTGCCAAACCTGCAGCTTGCTTAATTTCAATTTCCAAATTAAAGTTTAATTTTACAAGTTTCTAGACTTTGGTTATGTCGTAAATTTTCATTCAAACTTAGCAATCAAGTAGTTCGATTATTTTTATTTTAAATCTGCAAATAATTAGTTTAATTGCTATGGACTGCGTAGTTGAAATCATTGTCTGTGATTTTACATATTATGTTGTTTGCAAGTTTAATTTTTGTTGCATGTTATTCTCTTTTATTTATTTCGTGTTAGCTTAATTGTCTTAGGATATTACGTTTATCTTAGGATTTGTAGTTTTTGTTGCACTTTTGTGATTGTAAAGTCCTTGGAGGTATCCAAGGCAATTAGTAACTCATTTTGTAGAACTTCACCCTCTGTTTTGCAACATCGTTTAGGGCACAGTTTATTTCACAAATGTTCTTTCTAGCCATCATTTGGGAGGTTAACCATTGGAAAGGAGAAGGGTCATGGAAAATCCTATTTTCTTGTTTTAGACAAAATAAGTGGCACGCCTAATTCTCAAGCTCACGTGGTTAAGGCCGGCTAAGGATTTTTGGAGAAATAGTAGGATGACAATTTCCTTTGAAACTTGTGGAGGTTCACCTCCGCTGCAGGGTTGGAGATTCCAAGAATATACTTCCCTGTGGAGTGAGGATAGAGACACTTTTTTCCCATGAATTTCCTCCACCTCGTAGGGACCCATGAGAATCCGTATATAATAAAAAAAATATAAATATATATTATCAATTAATTTTTAGTCCCCTGATTCAACTAGCTAACTCAACTCAACTTAACCTACCCAGACCCAACCCAATTCCTTGTCCAATCTTCCCAAACCTAATTCAATACAATAAGTAAACTACAAATTGCAAACTGCAATTGCCAATTGCATATTGTAGTTTATGCTTCTTCTTTTTTCTATGAACATGCTGGTGGAGCTAGAGTGCGAGACATGTATGGCAATATATATTTGCTTACTGCAACTGGACATTGCTTTGTTGGACTGTATGTGTAATGTATTTATTTGTTTGAGTTATTTTAATTTTCTTTTTAATTTATAGAAAAAAATAGTTAAATTTTATATATTTGATATTTGACGAAAACTTCATATACCCGTGGAGACCCATCATTCCTCATAAGTATAGGGATATATGTTATTTTTGACCCCCTACAAAAAATTCCCGTAAGGATCCCATACCTGCCAATGATGGGGATGGGGATGGGGAGAGGGTCCTCGTGGGGACCCGTTGCTATCCCTAATGGAGAGCATCTAAAGTTGCATCGACTGCACATTATTTTTATCAAATAGAGAATTTCAAGGGAAAAGAGAATTTAATCCGGTTATGTCTTGCTGTTATTTATCTTTTCCAACACTAGGTGTTAATACACACATTTGCGTTATTTGGTTGCTTTTCATCTTCGCTTAGGCCTGCTTGGTCAAAAGGCTTACTAGACAAAATGCTGGAAGTCTATATTCATTCTATTTCTTGTAAAGGTAGATTAACAAAACAGAACCAAAGGCAAGGAGTCAAAGTACATAAACTCAATCAAATTACCTGCATCATCATATCAACAAAACCTCCTCATAACACACAAACCTGTTAATTAAACAATATTATCGGAGTCATAATCAGGAACTCACATCATCCAACATGGAAATATCAGTCTAGTTAAATTGGATGAATCAATATTAAAATCAAAGGGCCAATTGGTTTTACTATTTAAAGTTTAGAAAAATGCATTTCACCTGTCAATTCTTGTCCTGTCCATTGATGATCTTTTATGAATTATAATCCTAATGTGTTCACTTCACCCACCATTGATGCATCACAAGCATCATCAATGAATTACTATAAAGAAGTCGCAAATTACCTAAAAGGCAATTACTTACGAAATTTCTATATGTAGAGCTTTAGACTTTGAGTGTAACACACATCCACGTAAATGCAATGCAGATTTTGATGAAGGAGATCATTGCCATCCAGCAAGCATTCAGATGCAAAAATAATTAACATACTTGAATACCAAAAAACCTGCTTAGCTAATTGCTCGGCTATAAATAAAACACCATTCTACCCTTTCAAGCACTCTCTATTCAAGCCAGCATAGAGTAACAAGAAATCAAGGAACTCCTTATTCTGTCTCAGGCAAAACTCACTTTAGAATCTTTTTCTCTTCTGTTCTTCACAAAAAACACATCCCCTTGCAACTCAGCTCAACATGCAACCAGGAGAAATCTCTGGAAACCATAGTCTACCACACGAACATCAAAATCTTGACTCTGGCACAAATTTCACCAACAGGTTGTTGCTAAATTCTCAAGTTCATGTTCCATTCCATATGGTATCCCCAAACAAGCCATGTCTCAGTACAAAAGAGGAAACAAAAGAGTATCAACTAAGCGCTGTCAACGACAGGAGGCTTAGAAGAATTATATCCAACAGAGAATCTGCCAGAAGATCGCGGATTCGCAAGAAGAAGCAAATTGAAGAACTCCAGTCACAGGTAGATCAGCTTCAGACTATTAATCATCAGCTTGGACAAAAGCTTATCCATCTGCTGGAGAACAAGCACCGGATCCTAGAAGAGAATGCCCAACTCAAAAAGAAAGTTTCAACTCTGCACATGGTACTTGATGATTTGTTTTCATGTCTGAATAATCTGGAAGATATCACGTGCAACACAAGTCAGCAGCATAGGGCTGAAGCTACAAATCAATCTACGCTCAGTTAGTTTAATGAATTTCGTGATTGTTTAAGTTCACTTACATGGGTCTGATCATAGTTATGGAACAAGAAAAGAGTGACTAGAAAGAAAGAGGAAAACATAAGCATGGAAATGTGGGGCTAGATTTATATGGATATCTGATCACTGTCTTATATTAAATGCAATAATTTGGACCTCTTTCATCACTACTTAATGAGATGTACTCTACTGGCATGCATAGCAAGATTACGTTTCCTAGCAAGATACCGACCAACATTCAATCTCATGGTTGCTCATATGGATCCAGCATAGTTTTAGCTTGTTAGTTCTTATATTCAGTTTTAGTGGCAGCAATTTGGCCATTCCTACTAATGATAGAAAAGATACCATAGAATTACCTTTTGCAATGTAAGTTAAATTTGAAAAGATACCTTATTGGGTCCAATTATACAACTGGAAGGAAGATTGAAAGTTGCTGCAATTTCTCAAACTAACTAGAATTGAAGGAACTATAATAAAACCAAACTTGAAACTTCAGATTTCAAAGGTATTTTTCAGCACAAAAAATTGTTCTATCATTATCATCATCAACATTGTTGGTATAGAAGCATTGAAGCTACATACCGCAGGAGGGTAAACAACAGAAACTTTTCAATATAAGTGCTTCTCATCACCTGTTTTCCTACAATATCCACTTTTATTTATATAGTAGCATATTAGAAAGAGAGCAAAGTATTATTAATTATTCTGCTTGGGAAGGGGCTTCTCATCTGAGATATCAACAGGTGTTTCTTCTCCAGAAGTTGAACCACCACTGGCTTGGCCCTCAAAACCATGTGTTGGGTCTGCATATGATTGAGTGAAAGGCCACCTAGACAATGTTGCAAAAGAAACTTATTATGGTTCAGCATTTCAGAATTCAGATACTACGGTATACAAGTTTACAAAAATTCCCACTACCTGCTCGACAATATAGTCTCATTATTTATTGTTGTTGTCTCATCGTAGATGTCCCCTGAAAGAATACCAAAATTGCAATGATGTTCAACTAATTAATATATTCTACACATGAATAGCAAGTTTTCAAAAAAAATACAGAGCATGATGAAACAACAACAGTAATTAATACTTACCTCCATAAATATTCTTCTTAGAGAAGTACTTTGCCATTAATAGACGGGTATAGTCAGCTTCATATTTCTTATTCTTCTCAATAGTTTCTGGGTGATCAAGAATCCTATACAACATATAGACACATCATTTGCTTATGCCATAGTCACATAGGTATCATGAGTAAAACAGAGTCAATCTTTAATTCTAGAAAGAAAATTTAAGACAAAGCATGTGAGTAATACAGAAGACCATAGTGTGAATTAGGACCTTAATGCAGAGCAGAGGGGTGAAACCTAAATACCCAGAAACTAGAGAACATGAACCAGAAGAAAAACAAAGAAAAGAAATAGTTACTGCTTAAACTAAACCATCAATGAAATCCTAGCAAGTGCAATCTGATTGATGGGATATATCACAAGCCATAACAATAATAACCTTAAAAATCATTTTTCAAGTAGCATACCCAATCCATAAAAATAGAATTCTTAAACCAAAGGCAGATGAATAAAGAGATAATTGATCCAAACCCATATTTACAAGCAACTGAGCAAAGATATCAAACTAAAATGCGACTTTGCCGTAAAATGTTGAATTTGACGATTATCAAGTGACATCATAAATAATAAAAAAGGGTTGTCTTTAACTCTGCCATAATATAACTACTTGACCAAAAATTGTTACTTGTTCCAAGATTTCCATTAGTTTTTCCATTGCAATAGTAATCTAGAGGTTCATTTTTGTTAGTAACTCATACATCTGACCTCTCTATACATCAAACAAGAAAACTACAGCCATCCAAAAGTGGAACTTTAAGTGGATTCAGACAGCAATTTAAACTGATTTCTTCTTTCAAGTAATTTAATTCAGCATTAATTTAAAAGGAGAGATAGGAATAGCTCACGCAAAATGGTCATCTGATACGGGCTTTTGCTCGGCAGCATTGAGTCCTCCGTTTCCGGTTGCAGCAGCGTCGACCTGATATGGATAAGAAACAAAATCCACACAAGTTAGTGAATCAAAACAGAACACATTCGTGCTGTATATGCAACAGAGAGAGTTACCTGCTGCGGCGGAGATGGAACGGTAGGCTTGGTGGGGGAGGTCTCGGAATCGGAGGCGGAAGAAGCTGACGGTGGCGAAGAGGGATATGGCACAATCGCGGTCGCCATTTGGGCTTTCGGTCACCGATGTCCTCGCCTGAGTTTTACAACAGTTCCTTTCCCCTTTATTTTTTAGTTTTTATATCTTTCGATTGTTTTTAAAATATATAAAATATTAATTAAAATAAATATTAAATATATAAAATATATTTTATATATTTTTAAAATATTAAAGATAAAAAAATTTGTAATCACAGTTACG